GATTAATCAAAAAACTTACATGCTTCTATGTCTCTGGATCTGTTTTGTTCCTCAGTCTATTTTGTTTCTTAGATTCCTCATATGAGTGAAATCATGTAAAACTGAATCAGGAAGCCTCAGAAAACCTGAAGAGGCTAATAACTGATGAAATTGAAGCAGTAATAAAAAAAACTCCCAGCAAGCAAAAGCCCTGGTCCTGACAGCTTCACAAGGGAGCTTTCTAATTCTTTAAGTTGTAGGGTTAGTTTACTAAACATTTTTNCTGGATCTGTTTTGTTCCTCAGTCTATTTTGTTTCTTAGATTCCTCATATGAGTGAAATCATGTAAAACTGAATCAGGAAGCCTCAGAAAACCTGAAGAGGCTAATAACTGATGAAATTGAAGCAGTAATAAAAAAAACTCCCAGCAAGCAAAAGCCCTGGTCCTGACAGCTTCACAAGGGAGCTTTCTAATTCTTTAAGTTGTAGGGTTAGTTTACTAAACATTTTTCTTGCTTTTTGAGGTAGGCCTGTAGTGCTGTGAACTTCCCTCTCAGGACTGCTTTCACTGTGTCCCATAGATTTGGGGTTGTTGTGTGTTCATTTTTACTTGTTTCCAGGAAGTTTTTGATTTCTTTCTTGATCTTATTGGTAACCCATTCATTTTATAATAACATGTTATTTAGCCCCCATGTGCTTGAATGTTTTTGAGTGTTTTTACTGTAGTTGACTTCTAATTTCATGTCCTTGTGATCTGAGATGCTTGATATGATTTCAATCTTGAAGTTGTAGAGACTTGTTTTGTTTTCTAAAGTGTTGATCTTTGAGCGTGACCCCTGTGCACTTGAGAGGAATGTATATTCTGCAGCTTTGGAGTGAAATGTTCTGTAAATATTGATAAAATCCATCTGATCTAGTGTGGCATTTAGAGTCACTGTTTCTGTGTTGACTTTTTGTCTGGAAGATCTATCCAGTGAAGTCAGTGGGGTGTTAAAGTCCACAACTATGACTGAATTACTCTTAATCTCTCCCTTAAAGTCCTTAAGGTTATATAGGTCCTTATTTATTGCCATTTTAATTCTTTATGCCTGTGTTTCTCTCTGTATTTCTTCTTATTATTACAGCAGTCCGTTTGACATTTCCTGCAATGCTGGTTTGGTGGAGATAAACTCCTTTTAGCTTTTTTTTGTCTGGGAAGCTCTTTCTTTCACCATCTATTTTGAATGATAGCCTTGCTGGGTAGAGTAGCCTTGGTTTCAGATCCTTGTTTTGCATTACCTTGAGTATTTCATGCCATTTCCTTCTGGCCTGTAGAGTTTCTGATGAGAAGTCAGCCGATAACCTTATGGGAGCTCCTTTGTAGGTAACAGATTGCTTTTCTCTTGCTGCCTTTAAGATTTTTTGACATTTTAGTTATGATGTGTCTGATCATGTGCCTCTTTGGATTCTTGCTTGGGACTCTCCGTGCCTCCTGAACTTGTGTGACTTTTTTCCTTTACCAGGTTAGGGGTTTTCTGCCATTATTTCTTCAAACAGGTTCTCTAACGCCTGCTTACTTTCGACCTCTTCTGGCACTCCTATGATGTGACTATTGTTACGTTTCATGTTGTCCCACAGCTCCCTTATACTGTCCTGTTTTTAATTGTTTTTTCTTTTTGGATCTCTGATTGAGTCATTTTTCTACACTGTCTTTTAATTCACTGATCCTGTCCTCAGCTTCCTTTAATCTGCCGTTTATTCCTTCCAGTGTATTCTTTATTTCTGCTATGTCATTCTTAATTTCCTTCGTAGTTTCCATATCTTTTTTCATGCTGTTGAGCATCCTTACAATCATCATTCTGAACTCTATATCTGATAGATTGCTTATCTCTATTTCATTTAGCTCTTTTTCTGGAGACTTCTGTTCTTTCATTTGGGGCTTGTTTTTTGGTCTCCCCATTTTGACTGCCTGTAGGGTTTGTTTCAATGTATTAGGTGGATCTGCTAGGACTCTGTCTTTTTGGAGGGTCTCTGGTGCAGGCCAGTGTCAGACACAGTTTGTGACTGGCCCTGAGCACCCTGTTTGGAGCTGTCAACAACCCATGACTTGAAGTCTCCTCTGCTGGGGCTGGGTGCATTTGGGCAGGACCAGGATGCACACCAAAGTCTGCTTTTTCAAGGCCCAGGTCCAGAAGCAGATCAGGCAGAGACTCAAAGCACTCTGATGCCAGCCTTTGCCTGCAGGGTGGGGTGGCTGATTGTTATCAGTCTCTTAATGAGCCTCAGGCTGCAGAAACTCCACTAGGTAAGGGGAGAGGTTTTCTAGCAGGGTGGGGCAATTGCTTCCCACCCTCCCCCAGGCAAAAGCAGCAAAATGTCTGCCTGAGAGAGATGTCCTCTGCAGTATGGGCAAATGACTCAGCACAGGAATCCAAATGGGTGCCTTGTGATCTCTATCACCAGAGCCCACAACCCTAGATTCTCCTCACACAGCTCCAGTCCAGTCTGCCCTCCCTCTCATNCACAGCTCCAGTCCAGTCTGCCCTCCCTCTCATAGAGCCCAAGGTGAGTGGCTGCACACAAAACTTTGTGTGTTGGCCCTTTAAGGGGATTGCCTGCATTTCCAGCTGTCTTGTCTCTTCCTAGCAGAGAGAAACCCTGCTGCTTTTCACAGCCACACGTTATGTGGGTACCTTTCTCCGTTCTGGTGCTCTCGGCTGGGAAGCCCCACCTGAGGTTTAGGCCCCTGAGTCCTCAGTGGAAACCCCCCACAGCTGAGATATCCCTCTGGACCTTCAGCTGCTGCCTGTGGGAACCCAGCCAGCCCTCTCGTGCCTCTACACTTCCTACCAGCCTCTGTGTGGTCTCCACTTTTCCTCCTTGATTATGAGGGTGCTCTCGAGATCATCTTCAGTTGCAGTTGATTTTTCAGGATGGTTTTTCTATATTTTAGTTGTTATTCCAGTTTGGTCTGTGTAGCTTCCACTCAGCCTGCTGCCATCTTTAATCTCTCAAGTAATAGCTTTTATAACCAGGTAGAGGATATAAACATTCCTGGGACATAATGGGAATATAGGAAATACTCCCAAATTAATGGGATATATTGAGAGCCAATCTGAAAGTGCTCCCCATTACCAAAGGTGGAACTATTTCAGCAACAAAATAAATAACAATAACATACTGAATTATAACCCAAAGAATAAAATAGATATCTATGAGTCTATAATTATATAAATAAAAAGATAAATGGGGAGAAAGGACAGTGGATACTAAAATTAGCCAATGACAGTTTGAGAAAAAACAGGATTTTTGTTTTGTTTATTGTT